TCTAGGGGGGTGCCAGATTTGTTGACTTATCCGGCGGTGTCCTTTGACAAGCTTTCTTCAATATATTGTGTGTTTTGCCAAGTCATGTTCAAAGACAGATGATTGATATGATCATACGATAAACCTTTCTTATTTTGCTCATTAAATTCCCCTCGACACTTTCGTTTGAGTCATTTTAAATGAGGATCAAAAACACTTATCAGATGGCTACTTAGATGCGAATTGGGAAGGTAGTTTTCGGAGAATTTTAGCAAATATCGATAAGTTCAATTCACACCTTTTCAATATCATATAGATTGATAACACATTTTACTTTCAAAAACTGACACACAAAAACATTTTATTCATCACAATTTTCTCATACAACACTTTTGTATTTTGATATAAAGACCGATACGATACTTAGACCTCATTGTGACAGTGTGCTACATTGTGACCCCAATCAAAAGTATCCTCAGAAATATTTTTTCAAATGGCTTTGCTCTCAGATTAATAATTGCATAATATACTCACCACGAACGATTTTCCGATTTCTCCATTTTTTGATAAGAACCAGAAGAAGTTTTCCAATCAATGGTACAACTATTCGAAGGCCTCGATTGAGTCCACCACAAACTGAAATAAATAATAAAGTAGCGACAATGATACCTCGACGTTTTGATATTGTATATGAACAGCTGAGAGGTGCACATCGTTGGTAGTAAAAATCATAGCAATTATCACTGATGACTGATGTTTCTAAAAATGCTTGACTGATAACATCTAATGTAGTGCTGTCGAATTGAGTACGGATGGATATATTTAATGGTTTGATATATGGTGGAAACTCGGTGATAATCATACTGGCATATGTTGCTCGTATCTCTTCAATATAAATTTTATTGTACCACCAGTCAATATTAGAACTATAGAATCCAACCAATGGTGTACAGCCCACATATATTTCATAGAAGATATTTTGAAATTCGAAGAAACTCGATCCATTTATATATACGATAGGTCTCAAAAGGCAAGCATTATAATCAGTTGTGCATGAGCATGCTGAAGTTATTATTACAGATTCAGGATATATATCTACCAATGGGTAAAGCAATACATCTTCAATATTTACGTTGCCGTCATTGTCTACTAGAATTTGGAAATTAACGTTCGATCCTGATAAAAATTGATTGATAGTACCAGCCATATCAACCCAATTTAAAATAGGTACAAATGTGTTACGTGTTCTATTGATAAATGCTTCAACAATCGTTTGAGTTTGTTGAATGAACAAGGATTGAGGAAGAAGGTGATTGCTAACAAATGGTGTATTCATAAAAACACGTTGACTATCTTCAACATTAATTTTAGCCAAAGAACAAAACGTAGCCAAAAGTTGAAAATATGACACACCTGTAGGACGAAAATCTCGTGAATACGGTGTTTCAGTCCAAGAAGGTATACGAGTTGAATCGAACAAAGATAAATAATTTAGCCAGGCTGGTGAAACTAGATCGCTTGAACACACTTGGTGTAATACAAATGATACATTTAGAAATGCTCCATAAGGTATGGATAAATGTGTACAAGGACATTCTATGGTATTTGATTGTTCATTGAATAGTTTTTCGTAAGTTTCTCGAGATGGATACATGATAGTAACAATTTCATCGTGTTTGAATACATATATATAAAATCCAATATTGATCGAGCAGATGACGAATAATAAAATGAAGAGTCGTGTAAAGAAATACTCACGTATCATATTAGCATGCGTTCTAATTTTCTTACTTTCGAAAAGATTTAACTTGCCCAGTTGCTGATAAACGAAATTTGCTAGACGATGAAGACGATCGAAGATTGCTATTGCTAAGAAAAGTTTAGATTTAATATAATACAAAACTCTTCTTTTTATAAAACTACATATGAAAACATAAATAGCCAAGAAAAAAAGGAGCCCATCAGAGAGCCAAATCACAATAACTTCATCTTATCGGTCATTTCAAAGTGCTAAAGATTAGTGTTTTGTGAACATTCTCATAGAATTTTATTTTCACTTACGTCTATTTGAAATAGTTGTATCATCTTGTGAGCAACAGCCATTTGAAGTGCGTTTAGTTTTCCAGCGAAAAATTTCACTGACAATAAATGGTAGCAACAAACGTAAAATAGAAGACAGAACACCAAAAGTTCCTAGAATTGTAGTAATAACAAAGAGATGTGAAAAGCGACGAGAGTATGAGAAAGTACAATAGGCAGGTTTGCATTGTTTATAAAATGAATCAAATATTATCTTAATATCTAATCTATCAATCATTAATTCATCAAGAAACATTTGGACAGTAGAATTTACCAGGAAATGATTGTTGACATAAGTGGATAATAGACTCTCCATTTCTGTTGATGAGTTATGTAGAAACTGAAAACATGCTAAGTCATAATAACATTCCAATGTAGAAGCTAATGTTGAATCAACAATATAACAATCAATTATCATTTCTGGAACTACTATTAATTGATCTTGACTATCTCTAATATGAGCTGAACGTTGACACCCACTAATAGAGAAACACGAACAATTTCCAGATACTACTGGGAACATTTTTGGTTGACTCCAATCTCCAACATTTAATGGTGGATAACCTACATAAAAGTTAGTTTCCAAAGCTGATACAAACTGACTTCCAGACATAGTTCGTCGAATAACAAGTAAAATCTGAGCTAATGTTGTTTGAGCCAAAGAAATATAATTACTAAGATTTTCTTGAGCTTGAATATAAAGAATTTCTTCAGTAACTGCCATAGGACTTAGAATACGTGAGGCACCAAAACTTGTAACAGCATTAGTCCATGTACTCTTGCTTACACTACACAAACCTGCAATTGTTTGCCAGAAAAAGCTGACATAAAATCGAATATCAGATCTAGTTGATGATGAAGTTTTATTTTCGATGAATATTGAATCAATCCATTCTTGTGTGATAAATTTACTCGAACATACTTGATGAAAATTAACATTCACTTTCACAAATGATCCAAAGGTGATTCCAATTTGAGAACATCGACATTGAAGAGTATGTGGATATTTTTTCGTCAAATATAGGAACGTGGTCTGTGAAGGTGAATAATCAATACCACTTTCTGTTCGAATAATGAATGCAGAAAAAACTCCGATTATGAGCAGAAGACCAGACAATAATAGAAAATAAATGCGTGTTGTAAGTCGTTCTCTTGGAGCACTCTGTACCTCACTTGAGTTTGTTTCGAATAGATTTAAGCGAAGAAAACTCTTCCACAAGAAACTCAATAGATTCCACAACATCACTGCTCTGTTTTTGTTTGACAATTAGAACTCTTCAATGAAAATATATATTGAAAAAAAATAATAATAATTTTTAGCTACATTCACGACACATCTGGAAAATAGAAACCAGCCCACAATATTTTACTTTACATTTAATGCGCATAGAGAAAAGAAAAGTTGATACGTATATAATTTAGTATAATGAATAACTGTTTGGAGTGCATGCAACGTTAATGAACAGTTTGAAGAAAGAAAAGTCTTTTTAAATAACTTTTATAATTGCATGCATATTCTTACAAATATGCTCATATGTTGATTCTTTCTGTCTTCTAGAAGAATTTGTCAGAAACTGAAAAACCATTAATTAGATAAGACTTTTATTTAATGTCAAATTTGTTCATTAGTATTTATTGTTGAAAAATAGACTACATACAACTAAAGATTGCTAATCAAATTTATGCATTCATGATTAGTTCATTAGACAAATATATGATAAAAATCAATGTTTTATTTTATCTGTTTTTTAATAATATAAATTGATATGTATGTGTGATTTATGTTGGTGAAGCGTTGAGCTCAACATAGCAGTCTGGCTTTTGTTTCTTTGTAGAAAGAAAGTTCGATATCAGTAAAACACTTTTTGATTCGTTAAACAAGAAAATTTTATTCTCAACTTTTTGGAGAAAAAAAAAGGAATTTAAATAAAATTAAGGAGAAGCTCTATGAAAATTTTGTGCATATGTTGTTTGCTAAGCAGATGTCGATTGAATCGGTTATTTATCATAGCTGGTTGCACATTCACCAGATGACATTCTACTTTCTACATCGGCAGATATTGTTATATCTACAATAATCGACGATCTTGCCCTATTCTTTCCAGGTTCTTGTTTTTCTTTACTTTCAGACAAGATGACAAGAATCTCGTCTGATTAATTAGAAATAAAAGAATCAGAGAAGAATTATAAGATATTCAAGATGTGTTTAATGTTCAGACAAGAATCTTTTTCTTTTCTTTTAAAAAGAATCTTGTCTGAAAATTATGAAAAAATAGAAACTGGAAAGAAGTACAAGATATTTTAAATTTCTTAGTATTCAGACAAGATTCTTATGATAGGAAAGAAAAAGATTCTTCTCAGCTTTCCAAGATCAACGGCACGTGATGTTGTCTTTGTATAATCAAATACATAACGGCGATGTCTGAACATTATCTATTCATTATTGATTCAATAGGTAGTACGATTCACTTTGAATATGTACTTTTCCTAAAGCGTTCATTTCATTCAAACGACATCTAGCAACTCATTTTCAATTGAATGTATAAAAAAGTTTCCATTCGAAATCGAAAAAACAATGGAATATATGATATCTTTTTTTTCTATTGTTTTCAGAAAACTTACATTCTTTGAACATATTTCGATATTTTACCAATCCATACTTTTTATTTTACTTTTTAAATTTTCTTTCATTATCCACAAAAGCATTTTTTTTAATGGACGAAGAAAATTTCAATTCGTTAAAAAAATTATTATTTGATAATGCTCTTGGTAATATAGGTAATATCTATATGCACTTTATATCTTTTTGACTAATATACTATCTTTTCTTGAATTATCACCACATACAGATAAACAACGTTGATGGCGTGCGAAGAAAAAAGATCAGCATCATCGTACTCAATTATCTATACATCGTTTACTAGTTGAACAAATTGTAAATAACTTCTTTTAATCGAGCCAAGTCACAATAAAAAATTTTACACTATTCTTTTTTTTAGAATGAATTACATCAATATTCATCTAATATTAATGGAATTTTTGTTTTTTTTTGTGTTAAAAACTGAAACTGCTTTAATAACATGTGAAATTAAAAGTATTCTTTTGTCTTTTTTTACATTTTTTTATACATGGGGTGTAGAGCTTAAAATAAAATGATATGAAAAAGAGAGTAATAAGAATCTACAAAAATGCTTTTTTAATGTGACCGGAATCAGGCAAGAAACACAAGAAATAAGAAACAGACAAGAATCTAAGAAAAAAGAATCAGGCAAGAAATTCAAGAAAGATAAGAATCAGAGAAGAAAGCAAGAATACAAGAATCTTGTCTGGAGAAGAACTTCTTGCCTCACTAGCCAAGATTCGGTCTACATGAATCTTGTCAGAAAGGCAAGATCAGTTTTTTCAGGCAAGAATCTTGTATTGAAGGAATGGGAAAAGAATCTTGTCTGAAAGCCAAGAAAAATAAGAACCTGAAAAGAATAGGGCAAGATCGTCGATTAGTGTAACCATAGCATTTGAATAAGTTATAATTACTATATGTTACTTCTAATATTAATGTATAATATTGAATTCTCCAAAGAAACCATTATAACTGTTATTTATTCAATAATCATTTTTCAGTCGTTTTTCTCTAGCAAAAAAAATCATATAATTAAAAACAACAGGCTTAGTGGCGGCGCCAGGGGTGGGCCAGGGTGGGCTCAGCCCATCCTGATTTACATCGAGCCCGCCCTGAGAGATTTTGAAAGCTATGTAAAAAGAACACTTTGTGTAGGTTAGGGTGGGCTCAACCCATGATGAGCCCACCCTGAACTGAAATCCTGGCGCCGCTACTAAACAGGCTTGATCTACTTATGCTATTAACAATATTTGACTTTTATTTAAATTGTGATGTTCTGTCAAATTTTTACATAGAAAACTGTGGAGGTAAGGAAAGATTATGAATTGTTAGCATACAAATCCACGTAAATGTGAAGAAAAAAAAAATTAGAACATCTTCTCAGTTTGTTTGTGACAAAATCGAAAAAAAAAATATCCATCGTGAATTTCTCATAGAAGTTCAAGAAAGTAAATTGATCTCGTACAATCGAAATCTAAAGTCAATTTCTGAAAATGCCAAAAGAGTTATCTAAATAAAAATAAAATTAGACTCTTCATAATCCTTTTTTAACCTGTATGTAATGACAGATCAAAAAACTTGGATGACATAGCATTATTTTGGACGCTGCGAAGAGTTTTCATTCGATTGAGTGTCAGTCTCTATCAGTTATATATGGGATGTGAGAACCAATCTTAAAGATCCTCTCAAAAAAAGTGAATTTTTGTGAAAACTGTCAAAATTGAGATAAATACACAGAAAAATAGCCCATCGTCTGCTCTTTCAAACTCGATAAAAAATTTTCCTAAAACCTCCATTTTTTCTCGAAATATTTCAGAATTTCAGAGAACCAGTTTTTGAAAAACCAGCATTTTTTTGAAATATCGAAAAATCTGTTTCGTTTTTACTCATTTTTCCTTTTCTCACAACGCATTCCAAATTTCTATTTCATAGTTCGTCCAATATATTAATATTTTTTTTCATTGGAAAGGGCTTGCCAAGACGTAATGCACTAAGATGCCCTTTTTTTAAAATGCTTCTTTTCTTTAGTCAATATAAAGTTTGTAACACAATTTCATTACCATTTTTTGATAAATTTTTTAGTCGTTGAACTTGTAACTTCTTTTTTCCGATTAAAAAGAAGGTATTTCAAAAATAGAGCGACGTGATGCCCCGTATCTCAGCATGCTCTTTCCAAGAAAAAATATTAATATATTGGACGAACCGTTACAGAGAAATTCGGGTTGCAAAATTAGCTATTTTTCGACTTCCTTTGGCGAATATTTTTCTTAAATGAAACAGTTTTATCATAGACTTCACTTAATGCCTCTGCATATCCTCAAACTTTCAGCTGATTCTAACATTCCTGGATCAAGATGATATTTGAGGGGGGAAATACCTTTAATCGTGATCTTTCTTTTCTCCTTGTACTCATGTTAAGTTATTATCACAGATAAATTGATTTCTGATTGGAGACTTAAAATAATCTTAGAGAACTAAGCTTGACTATGACAAGTGCATACAATATTAATCAAGTTTCTGATGATATTTCCTCAGAAAATATGCACAATGCATCATGAGATGGGTGTAATTCAACAAAAATCTATAGTGGTCGGTATAGATGTTTGCAATATATTGACTAATAACTATGTGGTAATTGCTTTGAAGAACGACATCAAATCAAAGAACATCTCTATGGTCATGCAATGGCACATCTCAAAATCTCCGATGAATTGTTTGATCAACCAATCCGTCATACCTATAAAATAGCTCTGACAAAACTTCACAAGGTTCTAGCTTGTAAACATGACGATATCGCATGTACCGGTTGTCGCACACGAATTGTGAGCATTCAATTAATTCAAATATGATACTTGTTCACAATTATAATCTATGTTCTCAATGTATGAAACAGCAAATAATCAGCAAACCCCATGAAAACAATCATCGATTAGTAGCAACCAGCAATCATAGTCTGACGAAAATCGATATTAATGACATTTGAAAATTAGATGTACTTGGTGTAGGAACATTTAGTATACTGATATATGGGTAGTTCCACCGGAAATCTCCCACCGTTACAGTGACCTCGAGCAGCCAAGCTGGAAATTTCACCAGTTGATGGC